TTCTGGGTCATTGTCTTTCTTGAGGTCTAGTGTGTTTGGAGGAACTCCGTCCCATAGCCTTGCTAGCATCAGCAGTATTTTTGGGCCCTCAGCTGCTGACCTGCCAAGTCGGCTCTTGACTCTAAGAACCGTGAACTATACTAACTCAGGAGTTGTGGTGGGTGCCTATCCAAACACTAGAAAGCAGCTGTAAAGAGAGCAGAGTTGGTTTCCAGTCTCTTGGGATGCGATGGGACCGCCATCTTACGTGGTGTCTGTTGCTGTTCACACTTCATTATATTGTGTGATTCTTTGTGACATTCATTCTCTGTGAATGTTTAAACCTTCAGGCAGTCAGCAATGAAGTACTTGCCAAATCATGTCACTGTCTGTACCTATGTCAGCTGAACCATTTACTTGGGTGTGGCCTGCTCAGGATGGCCAGCATGATTTTGGCATAGAATCTGCATTCCCAGGACTTCTGGAAGTCAGGGCGTGGGGAGGGGCTGAAAGGTCACTCTCCTTAGATAGCTTCAGTAAATGACTTCAACACACGGGACTGGAGAACAAAACTTTCTCTGTCATTTCTTGAAGGCAATAGTCTGAGCAGAGAGTTGACTTAAAGCATCCAGGAATTGGGTATGAGGCTGCCCACACTAAGTCTCCCATCTCACCATTAAAAATGTAATTTTCCAGCTACGTGTAGTGGCCCATGCCTGGGAGGCAGAGGCAGGTGGATCTCTGTAAGTTCAAGGCTAGTCTGGTATACATAGTGAGCCCCAAGATAGCCATGGCTGCAGAGAGACCCTTTCTTTAAAAAAAGTGTGTGTCTGTATTTTTTTTTGTGTGTATGTTTGTACATACATGCCTCTTCTACGCTTAGCCCCTGATTGTGATTCTGTAGCCCTACAGTGACACTGAATTCATGGGGCAGCTTGACACAAAATCTCTGGGTGAGCAAATGCAGAGCCTCTTGGGTAACCATCTAAGGAAACAGGTAGTGGGTACTGGAGAGCTTCCAACAAGACACCCTTCTGTGCCAGGTTCTGCTCTCATAGTCTAGTTTCCAGTTAGAGGCAGAGGTGGTCCAGATGAACTGCCCCAGTGGATAGGTGCGGAGCAGCTGTCATCTGTAAACAGTGGTTCTCAAAAGTGCTTGAAGTTCTGGGGGATTCTGGAACAGTCTATTCTCCCAGACTCTGTTCACATAGACACTTGCTGCTACACACACACGTGTGTGTGTGTGTGTGTGTGTGTGTGTGTGTGTGTGCACGCACAGTGGTTGGTTTTCTCTCTACTGCTGGATTCTCTCTACTAATCTTGTTGGATTCCAGTGTGAGAAGAAGCATGTTCTTTTCTGATTTGCTCACTTCCATAGAGGCACCCATGTGACATTTGGGGGTGGGGAACGGAACTTTAAGTGTAAATTCTAAATGTAGACGGGACCAATTTGAATCTAAAGATCTTGGTTTGCAGACCAGGGAACAGATGTGCTGTCCTCCATGCATTGACTGTGTTTTGCAGGCATTAGCATATATGTTGTGACTTGCCATGTGTAGTCTGTTATTTAGGTGATGGGGTCCTTTAACAGATGTAATCCTGAGATGCTTTTGGGATATGCTACAAGGGTTTAAGCCTGCTCCAATTCCCTGCTCTCAAGGCCCTTGTTTTAGAATGTTCATCCCCAGAAGAGTGTCAGTTACCAAAAAGGGTTCTTGTGATGTACCTTACAGTTCCACACCACAAACCTCCACAAGCTTGGGACTAGAGCAGGCTACAGTCAGAGGGTAGCTGTGAATATGAGCAGCTTCTTCACTGGAAAACTGCTGTGATGGCTTGTTTCAATTGTCAGCTTTCCAATACCTACAATCACCTGGGAAGAAAGTCATGATGAGGCATTATCTAGATAAGACTGGCATATAGGTATTTCTGTGGAGGATTAAATTGGATTGTTAATGGATGTGGGAAGACTTAGCCCACTGTGGGTGACACCATTCCCTAGTTTGGGGCCCTGGAATAATGAAGTGATCTAACTAGCAGGCATGCATACATTGATCTCTTTCAGCTCATGATGGAATATGACTAGCTGCTTCAGGTTCTGCCTTTGTTTACATGAATTTATGGGCTTTAACCCAGATCATAAGCCAATTAAACCCCTTCCCCCTCAAAATTATTTTTTGAGGGGTCAGGATCTGTTACCATAGTGACAGAAATAAAACTAGGATTGTGTACTGGCTAAGTTTATGTCAATTTGACACAAGCTAAGAATCATCAGCGAGATATTGAGAAAATGTCTCAGTTGGGCTATAGGCAAACATGTAGAGCATTTTCTTTATGATTCACAGGGGAGAGCCATTGTGCGTGGGGCCACCTCTGGGTGGTAGTCCTGGGTTCTATAAGAAAGTGGGCTGGTCAAGCCATGGAGTGCAAGTCAGTAAGCAGCACTCCTATATGGCTGCTGCATCAGCTCCCACCTCCAGCTTCCTGTCCTTACTGCTTTTGATGATGACCATAGTTATATGGAACTATGAGCAAAATAAACCCTTTCCTCCCCAAGTTGCTTTGGTCATGTTGTTTCATTATGACTACAACAGTAATAACCCTAACTGAGACAGATGGCTACTGTTGTCTTCCCAGGGCAGAATTCACCTCTGGTTAGGCACATGTCACTGGCTGCACAGAATCTTGCACAGACCTGAAGGCTCATCTTTTTCCTTCAGTGGCCTTGAAGGTCAGACTGTAGTAGGTGGCTTTGGAATGATGGGTGAATAACATGTCAGCCTGTTTGATATCAGTTTCTTCCAGCCCCACTGTCAGTCATGGGGATGGAGCCACAGGGCAATTGTCTTCTGTTGAATGTGACAATTCACAACTCCACCGGGAGGCTCCTAGTCTGGTGGGCCTACCTCTTGTTGTGTTCCTTCTGAGTTTTCACAGTTGGCCAACTAACTGCATTCTCTCCCAGCCCCCCAGGGTCAGTTTTAGGATTAGGTGACATGAGTGCATGGTTTTCTCGCTTCTGGGGTTCCCCATACCAGTTGCTGAGGTGGATGTGGGAGCTGGGGACCAATGCTGGTTTTGATGCTTCCTTCTTAGCCCCTGGCTAGCTGGGAGGCCTCACAGGGCCTTTGTGTTTCCCACTGGCTTTGGCAGGGTTTGAGGTCTGTTTCTTTACTTGTCCTCCCCCTCACACCATCAGGATGCCTACTTCCTATACCCCTGGCTGCCAGCAGGCCTGGGGCCTGCTCCTGAGAATCACATGGAAGCACTTAGGGAAAGGTGCAGTGCAGCAGCAAAGACAGTTCTGGAAGGTCTGGTGGAGTCAAGCAGAGAAGGCAGGGCGCTGCTGCCTGTGGCTCTCTGGCTTTCAGTACCTTGGTGGGAACTGGCCTCTGGCGCCAGCTGCTTAATTCAGAACATTGTTATTTAAACGCCCTTCATGTTAAAGAGAGATGAAAAGAAATTCACTTCATTTTTCAGAGGTCTCCAAATAGCCGTGGAAAATCGATTCTTTTTCTGCCACCAATTAATGTCAGCCCCCCTTGTGGTTTTGGTGGATGCCACAGTGCTGGTGTAGGGAATGTAGGTATGGGAGCCACACTCTGGGCTCTGTGGCTGGGTGGAGAGCTGTAAGCCCAGCTGGGTCCTGACTGGTCATAGGGATACACCGTGTAGGTGACCCAACGTAGGTATCAGACCTGGGACTGTCATCTTCAGAGAACTACATTTCTCTGTACGCATTTCCTGTGGCCACTGCTGTCTGAAAAAGCTCAAAGAAATGGGCTGTTGGGGGTCTGAAGAAATGGCCCAGTGACTAAAAGCAGTTACTCTTCTTCCAGATGACTCTAGTTCAGCTTCTAGCATCTATGGTGGTGGCTCACCAGTACCTTCTGCTCCAGCTCAAGGGGATCTGATGCCCGTTTTTGACCTTCATGGACACTACACTCATGTGCACTCACTGTAAGAGATGCCCAGATGAAATGGGGCTAAGGAGCTAAAGATAGTAGGATCCAGGGTTTGGGAAGGTCAGGTGCATGAGGGTGTGACCTAGGAGGGAAATGTAGGAGATGGGTGGGGCACAATACATTCTGTAATGACCCAAGAAGAGGAGATCCTTCTGGGGCGGGGGTGATGACTAGGCAAGGTAGTTGGAGGTGGTTCTGGGCCAAAGAAGCAGAGGCAGCAAGCCAGCCTGCTCCAAGCCTGCGGCCACAGGTGTCAAGTTTGTCAGTTGTATGGGGAGTTCCAGGAGGGATTCTGGGGATCAGGAAAGCAATGAGAGTCCTCTCTTTCCTGGAGTCACAGAAGGAATTTGGAAGGAAGAGGTGCTCAAAAGGAGTACAAAAATACCTTTTGTGCATCTTTGCTTTTAGCTCTTTGGCATTTGCAGTTTCCATTGAAATAAGTTTACCTGCTCTCCACAGCATTATTCATTCATTTTCCTTCCATCTACTGACACGGGTCTCCCGTATCCCTGCTGGCCCAAATCTTATCTCATCCTTTTCTGTAATGCATTTCATACAGGTTACCATGACTTTTTAAAAATCTGTCATGAAGATGAAACTAGACCCGGCACAGGCTAGAAAAGTGGTCTTCCCCCTCATGCTACACCCCAGCCCTATACTCCACTTTTAAATCTACTTTATTTAAAATATGGAACAGTTGTCTGTCAATCATCTTATTTAAACAAAGTTTGCTGAGTTTTAGGTAGTTTCAAAAGATCTATACTAGTTCAGCCTCCTCCAAGTCTGCTTTAGTTAAGAACAGCAGGAAAAAATAGAGGCTTTCTAATTTCAGGGGACAAAAGAGAAATGGGCACTGGTTGTGTGACCCAGCTTTTTTTTTTTTTTTTTGTGGAAAGTGGCTGTATTGTAAAAGTAACATGATTAAATTTCAACAGGAGGGGAAGCTTTGGAATATGTCCTGTGTGTTAAGTAACTGATGCTTCTAGTGTGCTTTATAAATGACCAACCGCTTCCAAACACACTTTCTTACTCGACTTAAAAATTGCTTCTCTCTAGGAACTTGGCAGAATGGCTGAGACCTGCAAAATGAAATACACAGTGTTGGACAGCCCTTTGGGGAAGATCGAGCTGTCTGGCTGTGAGCGAGGCCTGCACAGGATACGATTTCTCAGCAGGAAGACCTCAAGCACTGAGTAAGCGTGAGCAGTCAGCACACACACACCATGTATGTGCGCTGAAGGGAGGAGTCAGCAGGAGCCCTGGGTCCTGCCCACTGTTCACGGGCAGTACTGAGCCTGGTGCCACCAACCACAACTGTCAGCATCCCAGAAAACGATCTGTGAGTTGTGGTGTCCTTGGCAGCTCATATATTACCCAGTAATCTGGAATAGCTCCTAAGCTCTGGGGACATGACTTTGATGGGAGCTTCCAGACATTTGATTCATGTGTTCTTTTGCAGAGGTGTTGAATTCTATGAGCACTGAGAATTTTTTTTTTTTTTTGTATGTTATGTGTGTGCGTAAGTGGGTCCCTGTGGGTGCACGTTTACATGTGTGCATGTGGAAGCCAGAGGGCAGCCTTGGGTATTTTCCAGCTTGTTTTTTGAGACAGAGTCTCTCACTAGCCTAGAGCTCACCCATTAGACTAGGTTAGCCCGAGAACAAGCCTCAGGGATTCACCTGACTTACTTTCCCAGCCCAGGAATTGCAGGCGTTGTCCCACAGTGCTCCAGCTTTTCACATGGACCTTTGGGTCTGAACCTAGATCCTCATGCGTATAAGACAAGCATTGCTGACTGAGCCATCTTCCCCTCCCATATGGAACATTTTGATTTCTAAACACAGGAGATACAGGGCTGGACCAATCTCTCAATTGTGTGACTTACCCAGAGGTTTTAAATCAAGCCTCTCAGAGGCTACCAGATGCTTTCCCCACTGCTAGTCTAGATTGCTTGCTCTGCCAGGCCACTCTGCTGCTTCCTGGAGGTGGCACCAGGCTGGGAGTGATTACTGCCAAGGTTTGGAAAGAGTCTTTCTACAGGGTGTCTTCGGAGCGCAAAGTCCTTGGAGGATATCTAGTCCTTTTTGCATGGTCCTTACCATATTTTTCTAATTGTAAAAACAAAACAAAACAAAACAAAACAAAACAAATTGGAAGCACTCCTGAGTATCTCATTGTAAAATATGCTGAACTTCTTCTGTTGGCTGGCCGTGAGGGGTGGTATTAAAGTGGCAGTTCTTGTTATTTCTGAGAGAAGAAGGAGGGAAAAGGAGAAAAAGAAAACAGAAAAGAAAAAGCATGAACTCCTGTGCTGGGTGTTTGTCTTAACTGGCTAATAAACACAATGCCAAGAACATTAGATAAAGAAAATACATAAGAAACATAAAAATTGATTTTAATGGACCCCTGTCAGAGACAGCCATAATGAGCATTGTTTGGTAATAAATTCCAGCATGGCCCTCCCCGGCCAGCTCCTCCTGTAGAGCTGTGTGCTGCGATCAATATCGTCTTTAAGGCTTCAAGACTGAAAAATAAGCAAACCTTTGAACTGCGAGAACAGGCTCCTCTCAGTTTCTGTGAGAACCATCTGGCTGCGGTGCTCAGAAACTCGCAGGCACCAAATAATTTGTAGGGAAAATGTCACTTTGTCTCTTAACATGTTCAGTAGCTCAATAAATCATAGAAATTATGTGTTGGCCCCTTTTGCTTTTGGAGAAACAGTAAAGGCACTCCTTACTATAAATTTGGGGAAGAAAATGTAAAAAGCAGGCATTATGAGATACATTTAGGGGCTGGAGAGATGGCTTAATGGTTATGATCCTATACTGCTCTTGCAGAGGACTCTTACATAGTTTGGATCCCCCGTGTCAGGTGGCATGTGAGTTTGTCACCAGGGGGTCCAGTGCCTCTGACGTCCAAATGCACTTGCATTCATCCAGACACAACACCCCCCCCATACACACATACACATAATTGATTTCTTTAAATCTTGAAAATGGTATATTTCATTTAAGTGTGTCCAGTGGGTTGTGTGAACTGAACAAAGAGGCTAAGTGAAGTTAGGGTTAGATTTGATTGTGAAAACAGCCACCCTGTAGTGGAGATGCAGCTGGTTTCCCTCAGGGAGGGGCACTCGTGTTTGAGTAGCGGAGACCAGGGGAGACCAGGCTGCTCATGTTGGGGTTCTGACATTCCATCTTCTCCTAACTATTTTCTCAGTCCCTTATGAGGCTCTGCCTGAGGCTGCAGGCCAGCCCACCACCTTGGGGGAGATAAGGATTATGCCTCCCTTTCAGAGGAGCAGTTTGGCCCCTCTTTCTCTTGGCTTAGGACTTTGGAGAGGGTATCTATGGGATAATCCTGGCACTAGAGGTCCTGTGAGTAACGTGGGAAGTTGGATTTTGAGGGCACAATGGTTCACCTTGCTAGTCAGTTTGATGGGATTTAGAATCTTCATGGAAAGAAATCTTTGGTCACGTCTGTGAGGTATTGTCTAGACCGGGCTAATTGAGGTGGGAACCTCACCCCCATCCCAAATGTGGGTGGCATGATGCCATGGGCTGGGGTCCTGGACAGACTAAAATGGAGAAAGCAAGCTGAGCTCCAGCATTTCAATGTCTCTGCTTCCTGGCTGAGGGAGCAGTGTGACTACTGCCTCATGCCCCTGCCACCAGCCACACCTTGGTGTTCCAAACTGTGAGTCAAAATAAAGCGCATATTCCTAAAGTTGTTTTTGTCTTGTGTTGTAAACAGCCAAACCGGTACCTGATATGGAGGGTAGCCAGCAGCATGTACATGTGTATAGCTAATCTGAGGAGGCTTTTCAAATCTCAAGAATGCTCAGAATGGGCCATTTTTATGTTGTCAGCTTAAAAAGCTGCAGGTAGAAATTTCATAGTGATATTTAGATATCAAACATAAAGTCCAGTAGGTTTGGACAAAAGGGTACAAGATCTTGAACTCTCTGGAAAGTTTGTTGTGGATTCATGCTCAAGCCTTGCAAAGACCTTGTCTTCATTTTTCCTGAATGACCAGATTCAGCAGCATACAAACATCTAATTTTATAAGAATTTGTCACCACTTGGTTCTGTCGATTTTTAAGGTTTTAGCCCTTCAGGTGCATAGGAGCTGTCATCTCACTGCGCTTTGAATTTTTAAAATCTGTATTTCCCTATTGTTTGCCCATTTTAACTTGGATTTTCTTTTCCTCTTTTCTTTCTTTTTTCTTTCGCTACTGTTTTATGGGTTTGGGTACCAGGAATGTGAGCTGTTTCTTTGTTTTGTTGACCAGTTTTTCCCTTTACGTGTAGGATATTTTTTTGTCTTTAATAAAAATGTAGGTGTCTGTGATGGTGCACAATTCTAATCCCAACACTCAAGAGGCAGAGGAAAGTGGATCTATCTATATGAATTCAAGATCAGCCAGGGCAATGCATGAGACCCTGTTTTAGAAAAGAACAATAACAGAACAAAACAAACAAAAAAACACAAACCCTCAAATATCCCACAACACCCTAACCACACCTACCATCAAACCTGAAGTATTTGGTAAAATTTCACCCAAGTCTTCTGCTGTGATGTCTCTTGGAAGCGTTATCCTTCCTGCACTTAGATATGTGTCCTATGTAAGTGACCATTATGGAGGTACCGTTGGTTTTTCTCAAACACTCTCTTAGCTCTATATAGTTGTCTAATTGTTCCATCCTTTATTGGGGGAAAACACAGCTTCTCTGTCTTCACATCTGCACTCTTGGCAATACCATTCTAGGGCTGTTTCTGGTTCCGTTGGCCTTTGTTCTTGGCCAGCCCCATACTGAGTTGGTTATGGAGTTTGTGCTCCGCCTGAGATAGTCAGGGCGAGTCTCTAGCTGCTGTTTTTGACCTCTGGGTGTCCCCCCCCCCTTTTTTTTTTTTTTTTGAGACAGGATCTCATGGAACCCTGCTTGGCATGGAACACAGGGACCTTGAACTTCTGCCTTTTCTCCAGCTCTGAATTCTATGTTTAGAGGGACATGCCACCACCCCGCTTGGTTTATGTGGAGCTGAGTGTCCAGCCTGGGGTGTTGTGCATGCTAGGCACACATGTAACCAGGTGAGCTGCATTTCCAGCTGACTTTTAGATATTTAGTTTTTCTTTAAAATTATGTTCTTATTTGTCAAAATTTTACAAACACACACACACACACACACACACACACACAAATACACACACTACCTACAATGTATTTCTATCCTATCCTCCTCCCTCTCCAAGGCTTCCCTTTAACTCCCTGCTGCCCCTACCCCGTCTCTTAATTTTGCACATTACCCTGCCAGTTGAGGCATCTGTCTTTGCACAGCTTTTTGTTGGGATCTGATTGAGAGGTGTCTGTTTCCATTCTTGGATACTTAACAGCTTCTTGGTATTGACTCTGTCGATTTGTGGTGTGATTTATCTCTGCATCTATTTGGGTTCTCTTTCATTTTTCTCAGCAGGGTTTTGTAGTTTCCAGCATGGAGACCTCACATGTCTTTGATAAAATTGATTTTTAGGCACTTTGTTCTTGATAGTATTCTAAATCAGCTTAAAACTTTTGTTAACTTTTAAATTATTGCTTCTGGTTGTAACCATTGATTTTTTTTTATGTTGATCTTACGTTGTACAAACTTCTCTGAATGTATGCACAGGACCTACCCCAACCCTTTTCTGTGATTTTTATTTCTACCATTTGTTACCCAGTCATTTTGAATCCAGAGTCCAGAAATGTTCGTTGGAAAGTTCCAGAAAGAAGCTGTTATGCCTTTTAAGTTCATGCCACTCTGTCTAGTATGATGACACATTGGGATGTGTGGTGGGACATCCCATCAGCTTGGACTATGTCCCCATCTACCCAGTGTATCCACTTTGTATGTGCTGCCCACCTTCTAGTCACTTTATTCGTTGTTAGATTAACTTGGTATTACTACCACACTGTGCTCAGGCAGCCCTTTCCTTCACAGCACAGGAGCCCGGAGATCCAGACATGCCCAAGACAAGCTATAGAGTGCTTCCTTAGAGAATTCTCTCCCCTCTTCATCACAAGAACACAAAGACCGCAGTGATACGGCTCGAAGCACAATTGGCTACTATGATGGCCTGATTTTGTATCCTCCATCTCTTACTGTGCAGGGTCTATAAATTATCCTAAGTGTATAGAAGCAGTCTTATTTCGAT